AGCTTCCCGAGTATCTAATATGGTATTATCTTACTTACTCACCATATTTTCAAAATTTTCTGTATCCTATAATCAGATTCTGAAGCGGCGTGCGGTCGGCTCAGCAACTGCAACAATTTCCAGTTCTGTTGACAAAATGATTGGCCCTCCGCAGCTACCCAACTGTAACTAAGATGTGGCTGGAGTCGCCTCCGATCTGGATATATGCGCCTAACATCGGCCTGGTGCCAAATTTTTATTTTCTACCCTAAAAGTTTTATGTGGATGGTTGTACATTGAGTATGAATTGTGCCTTATAATTCGTACATAGAGGTTGCTTAGTTTAATTTTTCTCATCAAATAAAATGATCGCTCAATTTAATGTTGCATATGACAATATATAAAAATTTAATCGCTGCAATTGTACAAAAACACAGCTGAATGATATGGTGATTTATTTTATAATTACTGTATATCAATTGAATTTTCCCGACTTTTATTTTTACTTTCTCTCCCAAATCATATATAATGATTCATATCAACCTTGTTGGTTAATTTATGAATGAATAAGCTTTTCTTTGTGCATATTGCTTTCACTTATTTCAATTTTTTATTATTAACTCGTTTTTAATCTTGGTGTCGCAGACTTGTGATGACCATTCCTGGTCCTTCGCGACTTCCTGTCAATTGCGATGAAATCCGTTACTGTATTTGAAATGTACTGTAATACTGAATTTGTATTGTGTTTTCTTGCACGACGAAATAAACTTATTGTCTATTGTAACAGTAACCTGCTTTTGATTTTGTATCATATAGTGTGAAATTGTGTACCTATAGCTTAGTTCTGTATATTATGAGGTACTAGCTCTAGTACTAGAACATAAAAGCACGGCCTGTAGATCCATCGTCCAAACGGATTTTTTTGCACTTGCAGAATCTTTGTCGGTTATCGTTTTTTTCATAGCATCATCCTTCAGTTTGATATGCAAGCTATACTCAACTGTACTCATGTTACCATGTTTGTAACCTACACACTTATCAGATTATCGAGACTTACATCAATATCTAGTAGTTCGTGAAACGGTAAATAGCCACTTTTACTATATAAATATGCATCGGAATTCTCCTTGCAGCCATCGAGCTGAAGCTCTATAAAACCCTCCCAACTTCATTCACCTCATAAATACGGAAACATGTGAAGATCGCTCACTACTATCGCCGTATAAATTCGCATTTTTTGGCGTTCAAAAACTTGTCACGTGTGCCACTATCATTTGCAGAAGCATTTCCAAGTAGAGCATAGTTTCTCAGCTTCCTGGACTTCATACCGTTAGTACTCGATCACTACAATTACTTGCCGGTAGCGTCCAGATGTTGAAATATATATGTCAGTACACCCTATTTAACCAGAAAGCACTGCTCGTCGAAGAGTGTCGTAACGACGCCAGAACGTACCAAACCTAGATGAGGACAAGCGTGTTTAAATGTGCCTATCTCAATAATAGTTCCCGTTAGCGCTGGTCGGTTACGGCTTCCTCCACTGTTGGCGTAGTAATGGACGATGTCTTGGTTCACGGACGAAACCAAGAGGAACATGACAAAAGACTTGACGCTGTTTTGAAAAAGATAGCAAAAGCAAGTCTTGCGTTAAACGACAAATGTCAGTTTTCCCTCCGAAAATTAAAGTTTCTTGGTTTTATGATAGATTCAGAAGGTGTGAAGGACCCTCAAAAGGTCATGGCTCTTTCCAAAATGCCAGCTCCCACAAATGTTTCCGAACTGAGACCCTGAAACAGAAAAATTCTAAAGGACAATGGAAACCTGTGGCGTTTGCTTCGCGCGCTATGAACACCACAGAGCAGAAATATGCGCAAGTAGAAAAAGAGGCATTAGCAGTTACGTGGGCGTGTGGGCGTTTTCAAGATTTTCTCGTAGAAATGCATTTCATGATAAACACAGACCACAAACCACTAGTTGCTTTATTCGGCACGAAAAGCCTAGATGAGTTGCCTCCACGAATCCAAAGATTTAGGATGAGATTGATGCGGTTTTCCTTCGATATTTCTCACATCCCAGAAAAGCACTTGATAATAGCAGACACTTTGTCTCGTGCACCACTGGACGACATGCGAGAAGAAGATATTCAGCTGAATGAAGACAGCGGTATTTATGTTCGTTCTGTTATTGATGGGTTCCCGGCATCAGATAAGCGCTTGCAGCAAATTCGTGTACATTTAAATGAGGACATTGTCTGTAAAGAAATTATGAATTTTTGTATGCACGGATGGCCGGATGAATCCAGGCTTAATGACGTATTGTTGTCGTACTACGAAGTACGCGGTGATCTTACTGTAATTGACGGATTGTTGCTACGCGGAACCAGATTATTAATTCCAGCATCGTTGCGACTTGATATTTTGGAGAAAATACATGAAGGACATATGGGGATCGTAAAATGCCGACGTCGAGCAAGATCTTCAGTGTGGTGGCCTTACATGAACAAGCAACTGGAAGAAGTTTGTAAGAGCCGTCCTTCTTTTTGTGAATTTTCACAAACCAAAACTCAACCATTAATTCCGAGTGAATATCCTGATAGACCATGGAAAAAGATTGCAACGGATTTATTCGAGTTGAAAGGTTCAAAATATTTGTTAGCTGTTGATTATTCTCCAGTTGGATCGAGATTGCTTTGTTACATGATACGACGTCGCTTACAGTAATCAATCATCTAAAGTCAATTTTCGCAAAGACCACAATACGCTTCGGGAGAATTTTCCAAATTTGCAGTAGAATATGGATTTTGTCATATAACGTCAAGTCCTCGCTATGCTCAATGTAACGGAGAGGCGGAGCGTGCAGTCCAAACTATTAAAAATCTGCTTAAAAGAACAAAAGATCCATACATGGCATTGCTGAATTATAGAAGTACAGCTTTGAAAAATGGTTATTCTCCAAGTGAACTTCTCATGGGAAGAAAGTTGAGCACAAAGTTACCAGTTTATTCAAGTGAATTGATTCCAAAATGGCCTAACATGGATGAATTGCAAAATAAAGAGTTGGGCGATAAAATGAAACAAAAGATGCATTTTGATAAAAGGCACAGAGCTCAAAATATGGAAAAATTGCAGATTGGTGATCATGCATGGATCAAAGATGGTCTTCAAAAAGAGCAAGGTGTTATAGCTGGGTATGCTGATACACCACGTTCATATATGATTTTAACACCGAGTGGTAGCCTACGTTGAGACGTAATCGTCGACATCTCAAGAAAGTTCCAGAAAGACCAACTTCGGACGAAGAAACACAATCTCCCATCAAAACGGATGTACAGGTTGAACCGAACAAGCCTGTTCAAGAAAATACGGAGAAAGTGAACATTACAAGATCTGGACGAATTTCCAGACCGCCAGAAAAACTAAATTTGTAAATAATTATGAAGGCGGTCATATTGTGATAACATCGTTATTGTGCAAGTTTCTTTAAATTGTTTTATGTTCACTTTTTGATAATGTTTAGAAACATATCTTTCCTGTAAGGGGGGGGGGTGTATGTTAGTATTGTGACGTAATAATAGCGTCTGGGTCTACCCGACGCAGACGCGTAATAATGGGATTTGGAGTGGGCTGTTGTTGATGTGATGGTACTGTTTTGCTGCTAAGATTAAAGACTATTCCATTCATACGAACAACGTGTCTATTTGCCTCCAATATAATAAGGGACACGACATCCACCATCAAGTCCATACATCCGAAAACAAACAATATAACTGATCCCATACCGGACTCGGAATGCTAACTGGACGAGAGGCCGTGGTTCGCCATATGGATAAGCCGTCTTATCGGCTTTCCGCTCCCCCGGGATAAATATGTAAATCCTATCCTAATTCACTGAACTAAAGAAGAAAGGGTCATATGGTAAAATATCAGAAGCGAAAGATCTTGAATCAAGAATATGGACTTCAAACGTTTCCACTCAAATAGACAATAAAATTGTCTATCCCAAATAGTCGTAATGTAACATGATATGCGCAATGCGAAACGCCAAACATTCATTAAATTCCGTATTATTATTGTTTTGTTCAATCACGGACCCGTGTACATGTGATGAGTGCTTTTTCCGATGCCGTATTATTATTATCATTTGTTCAATTACGGACCTGTGTATGTGTAAGTAGTGATTTCCCCGATGATAGTTTCATCTTCATGTGTGGCGTGCACTTGCACAGAATTTACCTACAGTTTTGATTTGTGTAGTCTTGAATATCTTTCTTATATGTGGTCCAATCAACGTTGGCCTAGGTTTGTGTTTTTTTGTTAAATTCTTTGCGCGAGTGGCGGTGATCTAGCTGCGAGCGCGTGATTATCTCTCGTGTATAAAACTTTTTCGAAGGTCTTTCCATATCTCCAGAATTTTCCTATTCTTAAGTGGTTTGTATTTTTTAAATCATTTAGGCACAGATGAATCCAAAGACACTAGGTCGTATCCTCGTTTTCTATCCACTCCAGAAAACTATGTAATAGCCCTGTGATTATCTCGAATCCCAAGCGGGGTTTATTATGTGCGAGAGAATTGCTGAACTCCCCACCTTGGTAGGGTGGTTCATTTAACCACTTGTCCGTTGCGGCTTTCTTCACCATCAAGTCCATGCATCTGAAAACGGATAACTGACAACTAATCCATAGCCGACATGGACTGGTAACCGGACACAAATGGCTTGGTTCACCATATGATTAAGCCGTTTTATTGTTTTCCTCCACCCGGGATAAATAATAAATATGTAAACACTATCCTAAGAATAAACTTTCTGTTCTATAGAGAGGTGAAGGTACAACCAGTGATTAGTAATATGAGATGAATTGAAATAAGCAACTCTCCGTTTGTTTTTAATGTATTTGAAATGGGCAATCAAATTCGGAGCATAAAGAAGGGATATTTTAATAGGTCTTATCAGATAAGCTAATCTCATTACGAAGAGGTATATGTAATTCTGTGCCCAAAAACCCGAAATGAGTGGCCGTACACATGGTTCAGACATTTATAGCAAGTACCTATATATACAAATTATGTACAATTCCAATATTGAAGAAAAACGAGGCTGAAAAAAATTACCACATGGATTATACAGTTGAAACATAACAAGGTTAATTGGGCATGATGAATTTAGTCCAATACACTGAACAAAAGAAACATGAGAAGGCAATATCTAAAAATATAGATGACTGCAGGGAACAGATTACAGGCCTCAATTTCAAAAAAATTCTCAACCTTATTTGAGCATGATGAATTTGGTTCAATATACAGAACAAAACAAACATTATGAGGAGGCAATATCAAAAAATATTGATGACCGCAGGGAACAGATTACAGGCCTCAATTTAAAAAAAAAATTTGCATAGATGAGATGTCTCGTAGATGCAAAGTGATGCAATGCATATAATGCTCCTTGACCTGGAACATAAGCATGTATCAATAAAGACAATAAATTTGTAACATATTTTCAAAAACTTATCAGAGTATCACAGAATTTTTTAGAAGGACTGAAAAAAGTTGTGATGTTTGTTATGAAAATACATTTCATCAATATGATTAGATACATTATTACTGTGCTACAGAACAAAACAAAGCTTATAGCATGAATATTCATTTTTGCAAATTTCAATGTTCAAGAATTATTTTGCACAGGTAATTCGAACATCTATTCTTGACTACCTCTAATTATATAAAACATGAGACATCAGCTAATCTTGTAGCTTCAGATAGTTAAAGAACCTTTGTGATGTAAAAAATGAAAAAAAAAAATGGGACAGGTTCATATAAACTTATAAAATTAACATGATTCAAAAATTAATGTGGTTATTTTAGCATTAAAAGTGCTTTAACAAAGATGCTGCCTGAAGTTGGCCATAGATAAAAAAGGAGTATTTTATTTTTCGTTAAAATGATTTCATTTATTAAAATAAGAATATAAAAAAGTTTTTGAGTAAAAGGTTCATTACATTACCAATACAATTAGGAAACCCGTAAAAGATATTCAAAACAAGTTATACATTGGAATTGTTAGTTCAATTTAGATGCCTTTCTCCTTATAGAGTGGTGACAATTGCTACTATTCACAATTTTTCCATAAACAATAAACTTTAATCAAGCACAATTAGTTAAAAATAATCGCATTTAAACTCAACCATACTGATGCCAACGTTTAATCTTTGGGAAATCTCCCTTATCATAAATAGCTATTAGTAAATTGCTGTGTAGTTCAACCAATAATATTATAAAAATATAAGGACCTTCAATACACATTTGAAATTTCCGGGCATACGTATGCAACCTGCAAATCCCCAAGAGTATATTATATGTCAGGTAAAAATGAAGAAATCTTTTAAAAAATACCATAGCATCTATCTATCTTGGCGTTTGTCTGTTTTGTGTGTTATTGGGAGATGGACCAGTGCCTTGTTGCATCTGCCTGGCATTGGTCTGGCTACCATAAACGTTTGGGTAACCAACCATTTGGTCATTTGGTGGGAAGCTTGGTTGTGGTGACATATAATAAGGGGGTTGGTCTGTCGGAGGTGACTGAAGATAATACGTTGGCTGACCTCTAGGAGGGATTGTATTCGGACCATAACCTGGATAGGACTGACTGGCATGATATATTGGCATGCCTGAGTTGGGAATAGTCCCATGTGAAGGGTGTGTGATTAGGCTAGGGCGCATTTGAGTATAGTCTATAACTTGGTGGCTGTTTCCAGCATTTGGCAGACTTGGTGGAACAGACTCCAGAGAAGTGGCAGAATTTTGATGATGAATACGATTGGACTGATGCACCCCAGACGGCGGGGGTGATCGCAGGGTGGCTTCATATGTTGGATTCTGTGCAGGTACAGTGCTGGAACGATTACCTAATTCTAATCTCATATTTTCATTTTCTCTTCTCAAACGTTCCTTCTCTTCTATGATTCTTTGCTTTTCCTCTCGCTCAGCAAAATAGTCATCTTGAAAAGCTTTAATCTGTTCCTCATACAAACTATTCTCCCCAGATTTGGTATCATTTTGAAAGGTGTCAAGCTGAGATTTCAAGGTATTATTTATATTTTCCAATTCAGATATATATTTTTCTTTCTCCTGAATGCCTTGACGAAGACAATGAAGTTCATGAGTCTGGGCTTGTGAATGTTCATTTGATATTATTAATGATCTTGCAGCATCTCTTTCTTTTTGTATATCAGAAATATTTATCATCATTTTTTGCATTTTCGCTTCCTGCTCAAGAATATGATCTTCTCTTTCAGATAATTTGTGTTCCAAATCTCTACATTTATCTTTAAACTCTATCACCAAACTTTTGTAATGCTCAAATTTCTCCATATCATACCCTCCAGCAGGACTTTGATATTCTTGGGTACTTGTAGAAGGTTGAACAGATACGAAGCTTCGAGATTCTTGATTTTTAACTCTGAGCATTAATTGTAATTTGTCTCGTTCTTCAACAATAGCCTGCATTTGCTCTGTAAGCTTCCTAGTGTTTTCTTCAAGAAACGCATTTTTCTTTTCAAATTCCTGTGCTTTCGTTTGATTTTTTATGACTAATTCATAATATTGAGATAAGTAGTGTTTCAACTCCAAAATATATTCAGTTTTTTCTTTGCAAGATTCACATTCTTTTTTGTTTTCAGTTTCAGAAATATTTTCGCCAGAACCAGACTGGCAAATCTCTTGCTGTTGTTCGAAAGTCTTTTCTCTTTCGGAAACCAACCTTGAAGTATTATTCAGCACCATCAATTCATTCTCCAATCTTTGTCTCTCTTTTTCTGCTGATTCAAATTGCCTAAATAACTGTGCATTTGTACAAGATAATATATTGTTTTTTTGTTTTAGTTTTGAAACTTCTTCGACTTTCTGCAAAAGATTGGATTGGCCAGACGAGGTCATTCCCTGCTTTAGGGCTTTTATCTGATTTTCATAATCGGCAATAAGATTTTTGACTTCTGTCATTTCAAACACATCTTGCTCTTCCAATTTCATTCGTAACTGTTCATTTTCTGAGACAACTTCATCTAGTTTTGAATTCGCAACTTGCAAATCTATCCTCAAATCAGCCATAGCAGTCTCTAAATCCTGTGGCTTCTCAGCAGAAGAAGTGACAGGATTATCCAATGTTATAGACATTGCAGAATTCTCATCAAGTCCTTCCATATTACCACCTAATATATCTCAAGCATTACAAATTCAAACTGAAACGCTTAAAATCAATTGCTAAAAACTACCTGAAAAATGGAAACAACAGTGTTATTAGCATACAGCAGCATTACTGCATTCTGGCTTATACAACTTTCTACAATAAAATTTATTACTTGTTTCGAGAAAATTCCGATTATTGAATTAATAATAGCTTGCAATTGATTGAACCAGAAAACATATCGAAGTCCTCAAATCTCCGTATACAGGTATATAGACTACTGGTATACTTATTTATGAAGACAAACATGCTGCAACACAGCAACATGGATAGGATTAGGATAGGATTTACATATTTATCCCGGGAGAGAGGAAAGCCGATAAGACAGCTTATCCATATGGCGAACCACGGCCTCTCGTCCGGTTACCATCCCAAGTCGGGTATGGGATTAGTTATATTGTTTGTTTTCGGAAGCATGGTCTTGGTGGTGAAGGAAGCCGTAACCTACCAGCGGTTACGTGCACCACCCAACGACAGCGAGGAGTCCAGCAATCCTCTCGCACATAACCATCCCTGCATGGGATTCGAACCTGCGAACCCACGCAGAGTAATTAGAGGTGCGGTGGCGAGCGTATTCCTAACGCCTAGCCCGTTGAGCCACACCGCCGCGCAATGACATTCCATAACGCTGTAATGCAGTAATGTGAAGCAAATATCTGAATATGCCAATACAGTATTAGGCATATAAATACCATGTGACTATAAAGTTTATAGTCACTTTGTAAATACCAATGTCAACAAAAACTAGAATTGCAGAGTTTTAACTTCACGATTGCAGAAAAAATCCCACTGACATTAGCACTTGGGATTTTTAAAATAAGACCATTTATTTCAATCTCTTCCATGAAAAAATGAAGAATGACTACGCACAAGACACTGCTCCGCTGATTACCCTACGAGGATTCGAATCCCATGTAGGGATAAATATAGGTGATACGAGATAGGATTGCTGGACTCCTCGTTGCCGTAGGGTGGTTCACGAAACTACTGACAGACTGGTCGATTATGGATTCCTCCACCATCAAGTTCAGGTACTGCAGTACTGAAGTATCTAAAACAAATAACTGGCTAACTAATTCTGTAATCACATACCCTACATGGGGATGGACTGGTACCGGCGAGAGGCCGTGGTTCTTCATATGATTAAGCCATCATATGAGCTTTCCCCTCCACCCCAGGATAAATTTGTAAATCCTAATCCTAAAATGGCAGCATGGGCTGATGGGTAGATTCACTTTGGCAGTTGCAACATGAAGTATAAATGAAAAAACATGAGATACTTTTTAATCCTATGATCTGATATGCCCATGTCATTATTAAGGGCAGGGAATAATATAAGGAAAAAAATAAAGCAATGACTGTATGAAGTGATATATACCGGTACGGTAGGCTACAACACACAATTTTTTCCCAATTTTCTGTGTGTTCATTGTTTGTGCTTTGTATATGATTTTTTTTTACGGGAAAATCAAAATATACTTACCGGTATTATACCGGTACGGTATTCCATATACATGGCATTCCTGGTTCTTTTAACCCTGACAAGTAGGTATACGGTACCGGTACATTTCACTGTCTTCACCTCACAAATATCCCCTAAACTTGAACAAAGTTCAAAATAAGTATAAAAATCATATAAATTCCTATAAAATAAGCCCTCAGACTGAGTTAGAGGGTTCGTCAACAACGATGAATAACCGACCGCTGTCAGAGCTGTGTACTGGCCGTTAGTCGTTGGTACTGGCTTACGGGGCTGCCACTTTGTCCGACAAATAACATCTAGATCTAGATCAAGGGTCTCCAACACGCGGCCCGTAAAGCATTTTTGCGGCCCGCGCCGTGGTTGAGATTTTACCAGAAAAAACTAAAATAGTATGATGTTAACTATGAGTTTTATCGTGTTATTTAACATCAAGAGAAGAGTCCGGTACAACAAACTGTTAAAAGTCAAATAAAAATTCCCCTCGTTATTCCACTTCACCACGTTCATATTTTATTCTTTCGTAATAATTAAATCGTAAATTCAATCATTTCATTTTGCGTTTTTATCATGACGAAATAAACATGTTTTGGTCAGATCATTGAAGTGTGCAGTTGTGAATCATTAATCATATGTGTATTTGCGGCAAAACTAGATTATTATAAACTTATGGATCTTTACGCAGGGAAAAATACCATGTTTATACTGGAACAATTCGTCACGATAAGGTATCGCAAATAAAATTTTCACTGATGAAACAGAGAAATTTCCCAGAGATAAACAAAACTTGTGAAGATTCGATGAAAGTAAGCTTTGCCATAAGTGAGATGATTGCGAAATCGTCGCGTCCTTTCGTTGAGGGAAGTTTAACGAGTGTATGTTGAAGGCTTGTGAAATAATTTTTCAACAATGAGAGTTAACAAATCAGCCTTTCGCACACGACTAACGGACGAGAGTTTGTTGTATGCTGTACAAAGACAAGCAAACCAACGCAAGTAAACAAATATGTTTCATGTCTCGCTTGGTGTAAGATTCAAGAGTAGTTTCAACAAATATATTCAGATTTACTTTGTTAATTTTTGTATAACAATTTTGCATATAATTTGTTAGTTTGCGGCCCGCGTCGTCAATGAATTTTAAAAAGTGGCCCGCGACATGCTTTGACTTGGAGCGTTCCTAATTCGAACTTTTTGAGTATTCGATTTGGACGGCATCTGATGCTTTATTTTGGAGTAGTGGCCTCATTAAACTTCGGATATACATGCAGGTAGAGGTTTATTGTTGATAAATAACTTTCATTTATATTTCTAGAGTTTAATTTATTATTTGTTCACATTTGTATTTCTTTTATGCTGATGATGAAGCCGCACACGATAACGAAGAAATAATTGATGGCTAGATAGGAAAAGGGAGGTCAAAATCAGGTTTGAAGCTTATTTCGGAAGCAGATTGTCTGCTGAATCATTGTTCGAAGTTGCTTTGAAGTCTAAGTTTGCTATAGAGTAAGTAGGTATATATATATTGCGTAGGTTTTCAGCAATTCAACCAATTCAGAATACAAGCACCAATTTCACTGTTTGATAAAAAAAAAAAATTTTCCTATCTCGGGCCAGTTTTTTGAAAAGAACAGGAACTGCTTTAATGCTTAAAAAAGGTCCAATCCGAGAAATAAAATCTTGTTGCAATGATGATGATAGTCTTGTTATGGTATCAATGGGAATGTGTTTCGAATATTTATAAAAATTAAAACAAATCTGAACCTGAATATCTTTTCATCTTAGTGGGGCAAAAATCAGCCTTTGGTATTCAGATAGTGGGATAAATCTTGAATGATTTATTTTTTCTGTGAATAAGGTTTAAGCTACTGCCTGTCGACATTAGTATTTTTTTAGTAAAGACCCTACACCAGGGGACGAATAAAAGAGTTACACGGCAATAAAACATTCTCAGATATTCTTTGAAGATACAGATCTGTTTTTGCATCGTATTGTATTTATCACGACGCGACGTTTTCAAATGACTTTTTACAACCTAAAATGATAAAATACGAGCATATATTTTTTGTGTCTATGACAAGGCACAGTCAATTCGCTCATGAGGTAGGCCTACCTGCATATAAAATTAGTAGCATTCACCAATGCGACAACGTAAGCCGTAAATTAAAAAAGATAAATGAATAATTTTTTAATTAGTCAAATTTGATTACTCACACAATGGCCAGTAAGTTTTCCCACATACACGCATATATCATGAATATAGCCTAGCTAGAGCCTAGGACATAAGCTGATTTATCTTGTGACCTGTGAGCAACAATCACAAGATAGATATGATTAGTCATGCTATTTCCTGGAAAAGGGCTATATAGTAAGACTGCAGAAGATTGGAATTATTAGTCTGTATTCATCTGTTCTTGTTTATTCGAATACCCCCCCCCCCTCTCTAATGGCAGAGACTTTGTCTCCGACCATGCCGGCAAACAAAAAAGTGCAAGGAATATGCAATTTGGTGAGAAACAAATGAAGGAAGGCATAATGAAAGATTGAAAATTAACAGACGCAGTAATACCGTTCAACCAATGACATTAAACAACATGATAGGCAACTCTGACGTCACTCCATAAGACTACATGCAAAAGATTGTATTTCATGATACGCTCCAATGCACATATTTCTCGTCGCCTTTCGCGACGGTTTTCCGATTGCTTTTGCTACTCGGCGTCTTCTTTACGTGTAGTACCTGCCTTTTTGCGCCTGTAACAAAAGAAAATAATCTCTATATCTGAGAAGTTTTGCTCATTTGGAAAGCTGGAATGGCAGACAAGCTGTAAAGAGTAATTCTGAACATTTGTGTGAATAATTTGTGTGAAACATTTTGCAGATAATGACAAAGTTCAAAGTTAGTAATTTTAATGTTTGCGCTTAAACATTGAAATTTCATTTAAAGAGGGTGTCATACAAAACAGCAAAACTGTTTTTACTTCTCTTAAAGGTGCTGTGATACAATTCCATAACACAAAGTTTGCACCTATCGAACTTGTTTTAGTAGGTGAATTTATTAGACATATTACATATTCAGTTAATCGTAGGTAACATTACTGGTACATAATGCCTCGTAGATAGGTTTGTGTCTAAATTTAGGAATTTAGCTCATAGCCCGCTAATTAATATTATCTTCTATGCAGGAGATTGCAGGGCTGATTCAACTTGCAGCCTTACCAATCACCTGACGATGCTCATTTAGTTTGTCTCGAGCAAGTCTTCTTGAAAGACTTGTGTGAATGGAAACTACCTATATGTTTTGCCTTCCTCCGATTTTAGAAGACAAATTTAATCTGAGGAATTTTGCATATAATTCTCATTGATTGTTGGCTGTTTATAATTCCTATTAAATGTGAATTCTGATTATATCAAAGAGTTAAACATTTTTTACGTAATTTACGGGCACTTTTTTCTTGTCAATACTCCAAGCTGAGGTAATAAGCAAGACAATACATTCATGTCATCTGCAAGCAAAATATACACACTAATTAAAAGTTTGACACATTGAGATAATACATCATGACAGAAAATACAAAGATACAGTATGTATGACCACCACATGGTAATTAAAATTAAAAAAAAATTAATAGAGGCTGTGGAGTATGAAAAGTTCAAGACAAAGAATAGAACAAAAGTTCATAGCTCATGAACTCTCAATTCTGCCTCCATTGCTTTGTGAAGGCCAATATATTCCGAGTGG